AGGAGAGCCTTCAAGAACGAAGCAAGGATGCAAACATCTCTTTATGTTTCTGTTCAAGACGTAGAATCTTCGGCATTACTAGAGTCAACGCGATTTCAGCAGGCTGCTGAAGGTGTATCGAATTACGGCTTATGTTATGCGGTTTACGAACAATATAAAACGAAATTCAGTGAAAGTCAAAGGTCCATTAAGCTCTGTTGAGATTTCACGAAGCTGAGCTCTATTGGGTGAAAGTTACACAGCGAAAATACTTTGCGATAGAGATTCTAGGATCTATCAAGTGGAAAATGCTTAGAAAAGACATCGTCGATTTATTCACTTAACCCAGAATTGGATACCCATGGTCTGCGTTTAAAGGGCAGACTTCAATTCTCCGACTTTTCTTTCGAAGAAAAACACCCATGGCTGTTACCTTATAAAGATAGATACAGTGAACTACTAAATTTTGAGTCTCATAAGAAATTGATTCATGCTGGAGTCGAAGCTACCTTAGCCGATATTAGAGAAAAGTTTTGGATCATAAAAGGACGCCAATTCGTCAAGTCCACGTTAAGTAAGTGCTTTTTGTGTAAACGATACAAGGTGCGTGCCGGTACACAGGAAACCGCTCCTTTACCACCTGATCGTGTTCTTCAATCATCTCCATTTTCTGTAACAGGCCTGGATTATGCTGGTCCCTTTATTACAAAGGACAGCAAGAATAAACATTATCTGCTTTTGTTTACATGTGCTACAACTCGAGCTTTACATCTAGAACTTGTCCCTTCTATGAGCGTGGAGAATTTCATGCTTGCGTTCGCAGGTTTATTTCTCGTCGGGATTATGCTCAACGATATATTCGGACAATGCCAAGACATTCAAATGTGCTGATCTCGAGTTGCGAAAAATTTGGAAGTGTATTTAACATCCATCTGTACAAAATTTGTTTTCTTCCCACGGTATAACATGGAAGTTTTATTGTGGAAAAAGGAGCATGGTGGGGAGGGTTCTGGGAAAGGCATTTTAGAACGATCAAACTTGTTTAAGAGGAAATAGTTGGACATTCTAGTCTCTCTTTGAATGAGCTAGAAACAGTCTTCGTAGAAATCGAAGCCATAATTAATTCAAGACCCATAACGTATGTCTACAATGACCCTTCAGAACCCTCACTGCTAACTCCTGCTCATTTCTTAATTGGTAAACGTTTACTTTCTCTTCCAGTTACAAGAGTGTGCAGAGAAGACCTGATTGGGTCTAGACATTCCTTGATCAAAAGGTATAAACATCAACAAACCTTGTTAAACCACTTTTGGAATAGGTGGAGGAAGGATTACTTGCTTTCTTTAAGATCTGTGAATTTATGTCCACCTACTAAAGTGTCTGGTCAGTTTAATGTTAATGATGTAGTCCTTGTACATGACGACCGTTTACCTAGGAATTTGTGGACAATAGGACAATAGTAAGATAATAGAAACTTATCCTGGCAGAGATGGTCAGGTTCGTTCTTGTCTCATTAAAGCTCAAACAGGTAATCTAAAGAGACCAGTACAATTGCTGTACAACCTTGAAGTGCATAATTAGTAGTAAAGAGTTACAGTGTAATAATCTAATTTGTTGTTTGCACATATATCATCTTCTGAGTATCTTTATTGATTGTTGCTAAATGTAGTTTAGTTTATATAATTATTGCGAATTTTGATTTAGTATAATGTTTCTTATTTAGTAATTACTTTATAAGTTGATTTAACGTGTTTAAACATTACTTAATTGTTATTTGTAATTTGATGTAGTTTATAGAGTATTCAAATGTTGTGTTTGATTTAGAAATTATGGTTTATTTTGTATTTGGTTTCTGTGAACTTAAAGAGTTCACAGGTGGGGAGTGTTGTAAAGAGAAAGAAGTAGAGGGCGCTGCTTGGCAGTAGCGCAACGCATGTAAGTAGAAACGAAATGTCGTTTGATTAGGCAACATGATTTCTGTGAAGGTAGTCCACCTAACAATAGGACAGTTGTAAATATGTAAATATAACGAATAATAAATAGCATTAGAAAACTGAACCATCGGATGTTTTGTGCTTGCTCTACGGGCCGCCATGGATAAATGCAGGTTCGTCACATTAACTTTCCTAACATTTAAGTTCAGGTTGGAATTCTATTATTGCTTTTTTCTGCCTTTCAGAGTGGAATGCGACCCTATGTTCTATGGAATCTATGGTAATTATTGCTCGTTTGGATGGGTACTATTGCCCCTCTTAATTTGAAAAAACAATTTAGAATCACCCTGTGTAAATTGATACTGGCTTAATTATTATACATGGTGTTTCAAAATTACACCCACAGATTTGAAGGGGAAGCAGAGGAAATGAATCATATTATGAACCACCAAATGAACCATGAAATTGAACCATATTTACATAGGAAGGTATACCTGGAAACGAACCTGGAAATCATACACTGAATGTTTCTCTAGCATTCCACAGAAGCAATTTGTGGTTTGTGTATTCAAGTTTCAGTCGTCGTAGAAAGGAAATACATCAGTTTACCGATGCAAAAATAACTGACATGTCCTCGTAGGACAATGGACATACTTCTCCATCTGTATCAAAATAGTACTATCAATGGACATACTTCTCATATCTGTATCAAGAAAGATACCCAACAGAAGAATCGAAACCACCAAATTGTTGAAAATTTGCTGAACAATTTCTGTGACGATGGAGCATCATGAAAGAGGTGATACTGGGTGTGGTGGACAAGAATCCCGACAGCAGACATATGTGCGGGTCTCTGCGATTGGAATTTCTTTCTGCAGTATGCAATTCGTTCTAGGCGCCTTCTTACATCCCTATCGCTATCAACGGGTTAAATTACTTCGGTGGGAAGATTATTCTTGAAATATGGCATTAAGGTAACGAGTTCTGCAGCTAAATAATATAGACTCGACGTTTTCAACTTGAGTCTTTTTCATGGACGAGGCTTCAGTCACTAAGAAAGGAAACTTTAATCATTAGTATGCGCATGTGTGACCTTATGAGTATCGACAGGTTCTGCGATCATATGCAATACAGCCCCGCTTTTCTTTCAGTGTTTGGGCAAGTATCACCAATAAGTAATTTATTAACTACGCCATCTTTATTTTAATTCCGAACGGACATCCAGAAGTACTGAATCTTTCTGAAAGTTTTACTGACTTGACGAACTGGCGAGAAGAACCTTGGCTGCATGTTCGCCAGATTTATCCAGCATTGATTTCTTTCTGTGGGGGAGGAAAACAATAAATATATGGTATTCGAAACGCCTCTACTTCTAGTGCGGATCACTGACCAGAATCGCAAGTGTCTCTGCTACTATCTCTGAAACTCTAGGTTTGTTCAACTTTGTTCAACTATCAGTGTGACATCGATAAGAGGTATGAATCGCTGGTAATGGAATTTACACTGGTGTGCAAAAATTAAGGACGAAGTCGAAAAATTAGCATATCAGCTGAACGAAGAGGCAGAGCGGATAGAAAGACCAATCAGAAGATTAAGTAAGGTGATGTACGGTAGCACATGCGCAGATATGCAGGTAGACGTAATGGGGGAGTGTCTGAGTAGTATAAAGCATGTTGTCGGTGTAAGATCAGTATTTCTGGCAAAGAGATTGCACGCCGTATAGCAGTTAAAATCACACCGAGTTGCTGCCTCAGCGAGAAATGGCGAATAATCAATCTGTTAGACGACATCTGGATGCTTTTACCCGAGGTCGAATCATTGGGAAGTTGGAGGAAGGCCACAGTGTGACAAGTGTGACTGCAGAGTTCGGAATTGCTCACAGCATCGTTTCACGACTTTGGAGACAATTTCAAACTACAGGAACAGCTATCCGGGGGTTTAGTAGTGGTCGTCCACGAGGAACCACACCCGCAGATGACCGGTATATTGCCTTATAGGCCAGAAGAAACAGGCGGCAGACAGCGGGAGAAATCGCTAGACACACGACACAGGCGACTGGACGACCGATATCGCGTTTTACCGTGGCCAGAAGACTGCACGGTGGTGGTCTGTTTGCAAGACGCCCTGTACGGTAGGTACCTCTAACGCCTGCCCATCGGAGAAGGCGTTCTCTGTGGTGCCGGGAACACCGGAATTGGAGAGACAATGAATGGGGACGAGTACTCTTTACAGATGAGAGCAGTTTCAGTCTGAGTAGCGATTTTCATCGCATAATCATCTGGAGAGAGCGGGGAAGCCGCAATCATCCCTCAAACATCATTGAAAGGAACAGGTATGGAGGTGGCGGTGTTCTCGTTTGGGGAGGCATCATGCTTGGTAGTCGTACAGACCTTCACATCTTCGACGCAGGTTCAGTCAACGGGACCCGTTCAGCAATGCCTCAACAACTCATTGACACCCTCATTCTCAGCATGGGCAGACGCTGTGAAACCTGCCTAGCAGTCAGGGGAGTTCATATCCCCTTGTTTCTTGCTGGACACCCATCACAGGGATGTTTCGGCCTTCAGTCGCATTGCGCTCCATGCTACTTTTTCAATAAAGCTTCTTTTTATCCCTCTGATTTCTCTTTTAGTAAGTGTTGCTTACATTACTCATGTCTTTTACGTATTAGGGATCTTACGGTATTAAATGTGTTCATTTGGAAAGCTTTTGTACAAAGTTATATTGAAAAAAACCGTCTCGTCCTTAATTTTTGCACACCAGTGTACATTTGAACTGTTATACCGTCGTTTAATGCATCCAGTATTTACATGGCAATATTACATTCAGGCGTCATAATCTTTTTCCATCATACGTACGTATTCAAACATGGTTTTTTTCGATGCCCTCTACTTCTCAAACTCTCTAGGTGTAATTTTGAAGTACCTTATATACATATGTAGTGCATTAATTACATATTTAAAGTCGTTTTATCTACGATTGCCATTTAATTTAAAATGCAACTTTTATAGCATCTATCTGATTGAGAATTAAAAATGCAAATTAATAAGAGCTAGGCAACATAAAGAAATAATAAAATGCTGTTACCTTTCGTCCAGCTTCATTATTATGAAGATTCATTATAGCTTTGGGATCAGATTTACCTCTTGCTTGTCGAATATCATTGGTGTCGACGAAACTCTTCGAGAAAGCTGTGCCATATGCTATATTATCTGAACAGCCGGACCATTTGAAAGAATCTGCCGGAGATTTTTGAACTGTGCGATCGCATCCGCAACGAACCAGCCGCCCACTACTGCATGCTCTTGTTACCGCATGCGAAACTCCAGCTGATGAAATGGCATGGACGAAAGCAGATTCCCTCGTACCTAAACAATGCAAAGGGTAAAATTAGCTATATGCAATACTTTTCTACATAAAGTGTTTCAAATGCGTTTCAATTTTACACGAGATTGCTCAGTTTTAAATATGGTGCCCATAGTCCAGAGCTTAAGTTCTAATATTAAAAGTACCAGAATCCTTTGGAAAGCTGTCGTTGGGAAACTTTAACGAAAATTAAAAAAATATATACATAATTATTAACTGAAATGAAGTAAAAAAAGAACGAAATAGAGACAATTAAATAAATAAATTAAAATACCAGAGCTCATTTTGGTATTTTAATATTTTTTCATACTGGGTAATCATAAAAATAAGATATTTAAAGTTGGATTTCTTACTTAAGGCAAGGAAATCGCATTATATCAGGATGAAATCACGAAGCTTCTAAGCAAGTCACTTCGTTCAATCATTGAATCGAATCCGACACACTGAAACATCGCCTCTCGGCGTTTAGCGCTTTTTAACCATTCGGCCAAAATGTTTTACATTATGGATGAAACTGAAACCTTCCCCTGGCAAATACGACTTTTTATTTGAATGAACTAAAATTTTAGTTTTTTCATCAAAATTTCATTTTAAAGATATGTTTATGAAAGAGTAACCGATGCGACTAAAGCTACATCTGTCATTCGTATGCGCAGTTTGTTTACAGAGATTAAAACATATATTGCTTTGCGTTCCTTATGATAGTGAGCATGTCAGAACTGCCCAAAACGAGATTAAATGTATTGAAAACTCGAATGAATTATATCGCTGATTTATAAAATTCATATCAATTCTCTGGACTGGATTATTTAATTAAATAATGCAATTTAGGGCTATCAGCTATTGGATAAGGATGCTTCAATCAAGGAAATTTTAAAAGATACACATTCAGGTTACACATGAAAAAAACCACAAAAATCTCCTCTACTCAGCATGTTCAGTTATTGGAAATAGAACTCGTGAAAGAATTATCAATGTTTCGTGGTCTACTGACCTTGGTCAGCATTTTAACTCTAAAACCTTGCACAGAACAATTTTTAGCTCTTGTAGAATAAAAAAAAATGACAAAAAGGAGTACAATTTCTTTCAGATGAATCTAAAATAAATGATGTGTAATTTAGTACATAAGTTGAAAGCTAAGAGAAAGATGGGTATGAAAAGAAATTTATTTTAGTATTTCGGTTTTCGAATACCACGAAGCATCTACCCGAGCGATTACATATAATAATGTCAGGATAATTTGCATATACGAGATAACTACAAATTTTATTTCAATTTTGAACCAAATATGCTGATGGGTACCTCGCAGCCATGGCTAGTTTAAGATTTTTAGAGGCATAAGCAGTTACAAGGTGTTACTGTCCAATCCAACTCCGCTCTCAACTTTCATACTACTTTTTGAAGCCATAATAGACAGGTGGAAAAAATTATACAACTGTTTTGGTTGCAGTTTTCAGGATTAGATTTTCTAGATGATTTGTTAATTAATAATTTTTATATAATCTGTACCTGTAATGTAAGTTTCTGAATAGTTATGAGCGCAGGTATGTGTTTAATTTAAATGTGTGGTGCATTTTGGACTTTAAATTGCAAAATCGGACGTTTTTAATCACTGGACCAATTCTAAATTTCTCCACGTTTTATTCTTGTATGAAGCTATAAAATGTAAATGTTGGTATGAAGTCGCATGAATTTCATAATATTTATAATTTTTTTAAGGGCGGTCACTAGCCATTTTTTGCCTTTCGCCACAGCGAAGGCCAGAAGTGGTGTTCATTTTATTATGGAGGCACCTAACAGGCGACCACCGTTACCTGTTATGAGAGGACAAACGATTTACATCCGTGCCTTCTCCAGGATTCGAACATGGGCCCTTCGGTATCCCAGTCCACTACACCGTCTGGGCGGCATAGTTAGAATTATGTTGCGCATGAAGATATCATAACGTAATCTTTATAATTAGATCATTTACGGTGAAAGAATACTTGAGCGCAATTAACGGTAAAAAAAATTAAATGCACGAATAAACTGAAATTCTTTTTAACTTGACTTTTAATTTTGTTCATCAGTAAAATGGCAATTTTTTCAGTTAGGAACAGCTGGTATTATTTCATCACATGGTTTTCTTCAGCATTTTGGCTATGTACCAAATGCTAGGATTCCTATACCTATATTCAAGAAATATCGGATCAGTTAGAATTAGCTGCTGAATTACTGTCAACAAACTAGATAAAATCAATAAGCATTTAAGTTTTCGTTCGCCAAAGAGAAACCTTTAGGCATAATTTGAAAGCATTATGAGATTTTGAAAAGCAAGAAAATCGTATTAAATATAACCCAGTTTACAGTTTTTAATTGCGTAATTACAATGATTCAGTAACATATTTTTATTTTTATGCATTTCTAGACGAACAGAATCATTGGCAGTTTTTAACTGTAGCTTTACTTTATCGAAAACGTTAGCCTAAATGTTTCACAAAATTTGCAATGTACTTTCTGAAATTTAATTATTAATATTTTTATGCTTTACTTATGTTTATTATAGCTTATTAGCTATTTTAAATGCGTTTACATAAGAGAAGGAAATTTTTGTTTCATGAGAGAAAGAATTTACGGTTGCTTCAGAAACTGCAGATATTAAAAGTTCTTTAACTTTGATTCAACTCGATAAATTATCAGCCTGTGTTCAGTTTTAGGAGAATGAGCTAGTTGCAAAGGCATTTTCGTGGTTTTCCTCGTAACGTGGATGCGAGTCAGTTTGTTCTTAGAAAGACCTCCACGAAAGCAGCGTTTTCTATAGGCAGGTAGCCTTAATCAAATAAACCGAACCAAACCAAACGGTAAAAGTAACGATTGTAAAGCATATTACAGCTTTGATAATAAAAGCTGCAAGGTGTATAAATCACGGCGAGATTTTGAGTTATTTTGTACTTTTGTGTATATCACTAAAAATCTTGCACATTTAAATGTGAAATTACATGGAAGAAATCAACTTATAACCTGTATAAAAGAAATTTAAAATGACTGATATGAAGACAGCTTCTGAGCAGGACGATTTGTTAGCAATTCGAAAAATCACATTCGTTCGGTTTATAACCTGAATGCCTTAAAATGTACCTGATGTGAACCTAAATGTGCCTTCGCCTCATTTCTGCGCTTGGTAGTATACTGTTGCTGTGACTAGCAGTTTTCAAAAGCGAGAAACATTAAAACAAAATTAAGATTCCTCATGAAGACGAATACTTCTTTACATGAAATGTGGAGCAAAACACTGACTGCGTGTACTAAAAAAAACAAAAATGTTGCCGAACCTTGTTTTGACTTATCGGCTTAACAGCCAAAAATAATTTAGTGCGGAAGGAAATATATCTTATTTGATTTGATACCATTAAGTTTAAATTTGTGGTGCTTAGTTTGCAGTTTACTATCGCATATTTTACAACATATTTTTGATTTTTTATATTTATTTAGAAAATTAGGTATTGATTAAAAAAAGTGTTTTGAAAGAAGTAGACTACCAGTGAAAAGTGAAAATATGTATTTTTAACATCTACTTATTACAGAAGCTCTGGATGTTGCTATGATATCATCATCTTTTAATCATCAGTGAAAGGGAGCACCTTGCAGTTGAATACATAACTGTAGTTGAGATGGTAAGGATGCTATTGTACACTGAAGCGTCACCTGTGGACTTTGGTGCACACATTGCCGAATTCGGTGTTTTAACTCAATGATATGTGAACGTGTTTCGTACACTTTTAGCCTCACTTTTAACGTAGCCTTAAAGGAGACAGTCAAGTACGGCTCAATCATATGACTGAGCTGGGCAGTTGATGTCCTCGCAACACATGAGCAGCCCTGGAAACAACTCCAAGAATGGTCATAAAGATCCCAGCTATGTGGCGGTTGCTCCACCCGGCTGAAGTCACCGTTCACTGTGACAAGGACTTAATTGCATTGCGAAGAAATGTTTCGCACATGACCTTGATCATTCAAAATAACATGGAAATATGGCTGCATGTGTATGATGTATCCTGTACCACAAACTCCACACAATACTATCATTTTGGCATTATAGAGAGGGCGCTGGTGAAGCTCCTGTGGTTTCTTTTGAGCTCTATCGACAATTTTGCTTATTTTAATAATTCTATCGCTGCAGGAAAAACAATCAATGCTGCATGGAAAAACACTCCATCTCAAATAATTTTTAATTATATAGACCATGGAGAACGTTACTATAGCAGTGCCATACAGCAAGCACTCTTTTTCCTCACATTTGAAAATTGTCAGCTGTTCTTGACTCATCCTACCTATGTTTCCCTTTGTGATGCTTAATTTTATTCATTTTCTCGCATTTATCGTTCGCCATTTTTGATCTGAATGAACTCATATTTATTCTGGCATCCATAATTACCCAAATTATTGTTTTACTGAATTAATCGTTCAGAAATCACATTTTCCACAACGATAGTTTGGGAAGAAATTTGAATCGATTTACGTGTCTTTCATTCAGGTTATTTTTCATTTGCATTACATGATTGGCAACATAGTAACTCAGTAACGCCTTGTATGTCTTTAGCTTTGCGTCGGGGTTATTCGCAACATTTACAAATGTTGTCATTATTAATGTTTTGCAAGTTTCAATAAATTTATTTCTGTAGTTTTCTAAAGTTTATTTTTATTAGTCTCCAAGGTTTAGAAGGGTTAGTTTTCAGTTTAGGTACACACAGAACGCGGAGAAAGAAGATGAATACAAAAAAAGACATAGTGCCGAGTTTAACAAAGAATTATATATTTTTTTATGCCCTAAATTAAAGCGAAGTGCACATGGAACGATTTTAATTCTCGAAAAGTCGTAAAGGAAAAATTTGGCCGAGAAGCAGAGGATAATATATGCACTTTTTGTTAAAATGCAGTTTTTAATGTAGTGTATTCATGTTAATATGGTAACTGCTATTTGTTTACAAGGCTTGTCTGTATATATGTATATGAATTTATGTTC